TTTACAGAGCAAGTATTTTTGTAGCACAGGGGCAATATCTTACAGAGTGGAATGAAACCAACAGACAAAAGTAAACTCAACTGATGTCTGCAGTGCCAAAAGGAAAAAAGCTCTGATTGCTTCGTGGTGCTTATTGTTGCTCTGCGAGTTAGAAACAATGGTCCCAGGCTTGCGAAAATCAAGCTTTAGATTGGTACTTTCTGTCAGTGCTTTCACTGTCAGTACCAAGGTGTCAGCCTTGGATTCAGCTGCTATATAGCTCTCCTCTCCAAAACACTACAAAAATAAATCTTGGACACAATCTCAGAAGAGGCTTCTCTGTCTCACACAGTCCAGCAGCCCATTACCCAACAAGGCTGCTGATCACAGTATGTGGCTACCAGATCAAGGCTCTATGGACCACTCGTTTGCCTACACTTCCCTACCCTGAGAATTCTGTACAAATTCTCTGTTCCTGTGGTCTTGCCCTGAACTGAAATAGATTTCACAAACAGAAATTTCCCAGTCTATAGCAACTGGCTGATAGCTATTTTCTGCTTTTGGATAATAAAGTGCTCTTGTTTTAATTAGTTACAGCTAGCAGGGAACTCTAAGGAGGGGGCATACTTTCTCTTCCTCCTCCCACTAATGTACTTCCCCAAGAGTTAAACATGAGATTCATCTAGATCCACATCTGTCTCCCCGAGCTCCACATGTGTGAAGCTGAAGTGAGTGGCCAGCAAGGGGTTCTCCATCCCATTGTCCTCACTGATGTGCAGGACAGTGTCCCCATGCTGCAGCAAGCTGGTGGTCTCCAGGCCAGCGTAGTCCTCGGTGTCAGAGAGCTGGGTGGGTGGGGTGCTCTGTGCTGTTGCTGGCCGGGACTCCAAGCCCTCCTCTTTCTCCTTCTCCTTCTCAGCAGAGAGTGCCTCGCCCTGCAATTGAGGGGAGCCAGTGGTCACGCTCGGAGAAAACAGGAGTGAGAGAGGGGAAAAAAAAAGGCAAGGAAATGTCTATAAAATATTTTCTCATTCAGAAATACATTTTACCATAAAGAACCAGGCACTTGCAGAGTATAAATCCCTTAAAATTATACCCTAATGATGATATATTTTTGCTGGTGAATCAAATTCGGAGCAATGATCAGGAAGGTTATCTGATTTCAGTCATTAACAATTCATCTATTTTAGAGTATGGCTACAAGCTGACAGAGAGCAGGTTTAGATTAGATATTAGGAAGAATTTCTTCACTGTGAGGGTGCTGAGGCTCTGGCACAGAGTGCCCAGAGGAGCTGCAGATGCCTCAACCCTGGAAGTGTTCAAGGCCGGGTTGGATGGGGCTTGGAGCAATCTGGTCTAGTGGAAGGTGTCTCTGCCCATGGCAGGGGGTCGGAAGTAGATTATCTTTAGGGTACCTTCCATCCCAAACCATTCTGTGATTCAGTCTGTGATTCTGAAGACAAATGTCTTTCATTTGTTCATGGCAAAAGGCATAACCACAAAAGACACAGGACATCTGTGCGCATGAAAGTGATCTCAATGTCACTGTCGTGTTGAAGGAATGGCTGGGATTGTCTCTGCAATGTCCTCAGTGGTGTCCAACACTGAAAAATGATGGACAACCAACTTCTTTTGCAGTGGGATGCTTTTGCTAGAACAATCCTGAGGCTTTGAAAGGATCCTTCCTTAAGGTGGCTTTGAAAGGATCCTTCCTTAAGGTGGCGTCTCTCAGACACCAAACATGTTGAGGAAAGCTTGCACTGGTGAACAGCTCCAGAAGGACACTGTTTGAGGGGAAGATGGAAAGGGAAGATACAGGAAGTATATTTGCAAATTAGGAATTGTTGCATAGATCTAGAAGGGAATGGCTTACAGAAGTAAGGAGTTGGACGGCAAACAGCCTAAAGAACAGACACATGGGAGATTTTGCTGTCTTCACTCTGCTGACAGCTTTTGTTACAGTGCTGTAATGCATCAGGCACTTCCCTACCCACTTGCAGTAGGGAAGTGACTGGGCTGAAGCAGCAGTCAGACACGCGATTACCCATCGGTCACGTTACCTGGCCGGTGGCCTGGCTGTGGAGATCAGCCACAACGATGGCAGGTGAGGAAGTCAGCACGGGCTTGCTGAGGGGCTCCTGCCTGCCAGTGTCCTGGAGGCTGCTGTGGCTGCAGCCCTGCTGCGGTGCTGCCGGGGCTGGCGCGTCCCCGGGGCAGGCTGGGGGCACCTCGGGCTGGGCCTCGGTGAACGTCACCGACCGCTTCTGCTCCGCTGGGGGTACAGAGCCCAGAAAGTGGGATGTTAGCATTTGGGGAGAAAAACACAAGAAGAGGAGTTTTTACAACTAAGACAGGATTCTTGGTTCATTCCATCTTTAGAAGCTGTCTAATTGGCATCTCATCTGAAAGCCTTTTACCTCGGGCTCCTTCTACAGCCACGGCAAGAGTCAGGGATCTCCTGAAGTCTAGGCAAGCACACCTATCTTTGTCACGGCTCGGTGGGCCAAATGCCACCCATAGCATCTTTCCATCCCAGAACAATATACTGAGTTTAATTCCCATGTGAGTTAGGCATTTCTTCCCTCAAATAAAAAAAAGCAAAACTGACATGCAAGTATATAGGGGAAATGCTCAAGGTTTTGCAGGAAATCTGAGAAAAGAAAGTGCAGCTGATAGCCCCCCATTCCTCAGTCCACTGTGCAGGAATAACTGGAGAGCACACGGTGAAGACAGCTGGGCTAAAACCTAACAGTAAAACTGACATCCCTGCTCCTGCTCTTAATTATTTTGGGTGGACTTTTCAAACATCTCCAGCCACGCGGTTGCCCCAGCACACTCC